CCTCACTATCTGTGTTGTCTCAGCCATTTCCTTTACTTTCTCAGCATCCTGCTTCATTACTTGAATCAAATCCGTTATTTGCGTTTGTTGAGCAGTAATGCTTGTTGTCACAACTTGCAGCTGCTTTTGTTGTTCAGTAATATTCGCTGTTACCACAGACATCTGTTCTTTAAAGACATTGAGCTGTTCCAGCAGAGGGCGCATGACCTCTGTCATCGCCTTCGTCGTCTCACTGGTCGTTTCCGGCTTCGGGGACTCTAGTTTCGCTTTTAACAGTTTCTCTTTGTCTCTGTCCCTCTTCCCCGCCATCTTTTTCTCGTTTGTTTGCTTTCGCAATAAATTTTAAAGTCTCTGAATATGCGCTTATCTGTATAGCTCGATGAATGAGTACTTCTGGGCAATTTCATGTTTATTCTTCCACTCCCTCCCCTTTCGCTCAACTATTTATGGGCATGGGAGGCGTCCCTCCCACCACTCGCTTCTGCCATTTCGCCGCTTGGGGTAAGGAGTGTCTTTTCGTTTAAAAATCAGTTCTCATTTGACTCACGTTCATAGTTGGTCTTCTGACCCCTCTTCATTCATCATTTCAAACGCCTGATCTCCTGTTCTTGACTCGGCTAGCTTCACTTGTACCATCAGGTCTCTCGGCTGGACGGACCACTGGAGCAAGGGGGAGCCTCGATTCTCTGGCATTCGGCCAGAGAAGAGGCTACCCCCTCAAAGCTCCTTGGCCAGGTGCCCTTCCCTGGGCACCTGGGGGGGGTTACGAGCCTGCTCACCCCCTCCGTCTGCCAGAGCACGGAGACACCCCCGGGAGGTCTGGGAGGTGAGTCCGTGAGCGTGCCGCCATCAACCAGAAGACCTTGGGAACCATTTTAAGAGGCCTCCCAAATGGGAGGTATGTGAAACAACCCTGAATGCTTGTCTCTGCTAGCCAGCCTGTCATAGATAATATAGCGGTAGGTTCACAGGTGGGGGAAGAGGGCTAACGGTGTGCACAAGGTTTAGGCGGGCTGAATGGATGGATTGATTGGACGAGTCACTGGGGGGGGGGGCTTGTTTGAATCATGTATAATTCCAGAACTGGCGCTGAAGTTAGTTCTGAAACAAATGGTCTTAGCTTGACACATGCACATCTCTCAATAAACAAATCACTCTCCAGAGAGTGTTGTTGAGAGTAAGTTTGTTCAAGAGTCTGACACCAACTGGGCCACACGGATGCTTGCCACTATAACTTCAAGGCCGGACTATAGTAATGCAGTCACCATGGGTCTGTCCTTGGACTCCACCTGGGAACTCCAACTACTACAGAATGCTGCAGTTCAGTTGCTGTCTGGATCTAAGCAGAGGATACACGTCACGACGACTGAGGGGTGACATGATTGAGGTATATAAGATTATGCATGGGAAAGAGCAGGTAGAGAAAGAGGTACTTTTCTCCCTTTCTCACAATACAAGAAATCCTTGTGGGCACTCCCATGAAATTGCTGAGCAGTCGGGTTAGAATGGATAAAAGGAAGTACTTCTTCACCTAAAGAGTGATTAACACATGGAATTCACTGCCACAGGAAGTGGTGGCAGCTACAAGCATGGACGGCTTCAAAAGGGAATAAGCATATGGAGCAGAGGTCCATCAGTGCTATTAGCCACAAGGTATAGATAGGGTGCAGTGGCTCAAGTGGTTAAGATGCTGAACTGCAGGCTGTGGAAGGTCAGTAGTTCAGCAGTTCAAGACCCAGGTTGCCACAAGACGGAGTGAGCTCCCGTCTCTAGTTCCAGCTCCTGCCAACCTAGCAGTTCGAAAGCAAGAAATTGCAAGTAGATAAATAGGTACCACTTCAGTGGAAGGTAACAGCGTTCCGTGCGCCTTGGTGTTTAGTCATGCCGGCCACATGACCACGGGAATGTCTTCGGACAGTGCTGGCTCTTCGGCTTTGAAACGGAGATGAGCACCGCAACCCTAGAGTCGGACTCGACTGGCTTTCGAGCGAGGGAACCTTTACCTTTACTATAGATAGGGACTCTGGGGCAAGTGATGCTCTGTCTTCTTGGTGCTTGGGGTGGGGGTCAACAGTGGGAGGGCTTCTAATGTCCTGGCCCCACTGGTGGACCTCCTGATGGCACCTGGTATTTCTGGCCACTGTGTGATACAGAGTGTTGGGCTGGATGGGCCTTTGGCCTGATCCAACATTGGCGTCTCTTATGTTCTTATTCTGCCATCATTCCACTGGTTGCCACTCCTTTACAAGGATCAGTTCAAGGTGCTACGAAGCCCTTCATGGCCTTCTTCCCTCATACTTGCAGGACTGTCTTAGTATGCGGGTCAACCTGAGCATCACTCATCTGAGCAAAACCTTCCTTCGAGACCACCCTGCAAACGATGACGTCACCTGCATTCTCTGTTCCGGCTCCTGACATGTGGAACGCCATGCCTGAAGAGATGAGGGTGCTCCCCTCTTCTGAAGAATGCATGAAGCAGAAACGTTCAAGAGGAATTTTAATATTTTACATAAAGTATAATGGAACAGATCAGGAAGACACCTTTATAAAGGAACGGGACTGTAGTCTATTGCAATGTTTATTGTAGGACTCACACCTTGCTTCGACAGCATTGTTTTCTACCACTGAAATCCTTTTTCTGCACTACCATATGCCATGCCTTAAGACAGTTCCTGTTTGCGCCGTGTTCTAATTCTGGAAGCCTAGGGCCATTGCGTTATTAGACACTGCAAGCTGCCGGACTGAACTGTCTTGTTTTGTAATCCAGCTTGAGTCTTAGTGACAAATGACAAAGGCGGGCTATGGATGAAATAAAGAATAATACATTCATAAATAAATATTCAATATAGAAAAAAGATGGCAATGAGATTTACGAAATTATACATGAGATGGAAAAATCAGTCAGAAATCTTTTCCTCCCTCTCCTGAAACACTGGAATTCTGGGGCACCACCCAAAGATGATGATGGGCAATTGGTATTGAAGAAAATAGTTTTTTTACTCAATGAGTAATTAAACTGTGGAATTCACTGCCAGTGGACATGCGGGTAAGGTGGTTTTAAAAGGGGGTGAGATTCATGGAGGAGACGTCCGCTGATGGCTTCTAGTCGTAGTTCTCCAAGGGCAGAACTCCTCTGAATACCAATGCTGGGAGGAAGCACCAAGGGAAGGCCTTGTCCTCTGCGGAACTGGTTGGTCACTGTATGGAACAGGACGCTGGACTAGACGGGAAGCCCACTGGCTTACCCTTTGAAGTCCAGTGTCAAGAAGAGCACGTACAGCAAGCCATCAGACCATGCAGGCACATGCTCAGCCGGGAGGGCAACCCATCCAAATTAACAAGGTTTGCAACTGTTGCTCCTCCTGTGTGGCATTCAGTGCCACGGGGCCCAGACCTTCTCCTGGAGTCTCCCTTTGGCTGGTTCTGCGGAAGCCACGGCAGGCCAGGAGCCCCCGGCAGCAGGGGGGAGTCACAGGACTGGTGCTCTAGAAACGGCAGGAGGAGCAACCCCCAGGCAGACGGGCGCCACCTTAGTGGAAGGGAATGGGGTAAGAGTGAGTGAGACACGGGGCAGAGGCAGCTAGAGACAGTAGACGAGCATTGTACGCTCATGCAGGCACTGCCACAGCAGGTAAGCTCAGAACCTAATGCCCGGATCCCTGCGGACAGCCGAAGGTGGCATTCTGCCTTAAAACTGATCCAGACCCTTTTGTCTATCAAATCTGACTGGCAGCACCCCTCCAGGGCTGAAGGCAAAGAGAGGTCTTTCTCATCTCCTACCACCGGGGTTCTTTTCACGGGAAATTCTGGGGACTGAACCTGGAACCTTCTGCATGCAAAGCCAAGCCGAAGCTCTTCCGCTCAGCCACAGACCCCCCCCCCAAAAGACACAGATTTGGGAAGCGCCCCCCCCCCGCACCAGCAGCCCCCACAGCCAGCCACATACAGCGCTTGCAGGAGCCCCCCACCGAGGCCCGGTGCCCTGGCTGGCCATGCACACGCCCCCCCCCCGAAAGACAAGACAGACAAGGGCCGGCTTCCGGTACAGTCTCACTTTTATTCGGACGTCCTATAGATACAGCTGAGTGCAGAGGCCCCGGGGGCACCGCTGTGGCTGCCCAGCATGCTGCAGCCCCAAAGCCCCCCCAAAAGCCAGCCGCATGGGGGGAGGGGGGGAGGGAGAGGTGCAGGGCACCTCGCTGGCAGCAAGAGACTCCTCCCAGGCTACGACACTTTGCCTCAGCACACGAAAGACTTCAGCGGACCCACGACTTGGAGGCCCCGGTGAGCAAAACCCCTCTGCCCCCCGCGCGCCTGCCCTACCACTAGAGGAGGGGGAAGAGGAACCCCCTCCCCCCCCATTATTTTGGGTGGAGTTCAGAACCGAGGGCCGAGGGTGCGCAGGCAGACCTCCAAGCGCCCAGGGATGTGGAAGGCAAAGCAGACCGTGACCTCCTAGTGTCGGGGTCGGGGAGGAGGAGGAGGAGAAAAGAGCTCATTCCCAGCCAAGAGGAAATGTCTTTTGAGTGCAACAGGAGAGGAGCCCAGAAGAGCTCCGTACTCTCTGGGGGCAGGCGGGGTGTGTGGGTGAATGGGGGCATGCCGGGACGAGGATACCCCTCCACACATAAAATAAATATTTCCGTTTCCGGACCAAAAAAGGGAAAAGAAAAAAACTCAGACCAGAGCAGCGTATTTACATTCCCCCGCCCCCAGACACCCCCTGCTCCCGCGAGACGGGGCTCCGCTCCGGGCATTCCTCGGGGGCAGGCGGGGAGACAGCCCCTCGGCCCCCTGCTCCCGAGGAGCCCCTTCACGGCCTCTCGCCCCGGAAGCACAACACGGGGAGGGGGGCCAAGGAAGAGAAGAACCACCTGAGGAATCGGGAGGAGGAACACGAACACAGGCGGGGGGGAGGGGATGGGGGAGAACCACGACAAGGGGCTCTACGCTGGAGGCGCTCTACTCCTTGGCCCGCCCGATGATGGCCAAGATGTACAGGAAGATGTTGATAATGTCCGTGTAGAGGTTGAGGGCCGCGAAGACGTACTCCTCCGGGCTGATGGCCAGCTGCTTGTTCCCCAAGATCATCTGGGTGTCCACTGCCAGGAACTGCCGAGAAAAGGGGAAGTCGGAGGTGTAGAGAAAATGGTTTCCCTGGTCTAGTGACAAACTAAAATCACTGGTTCAGGCTGCATAGAGGCCTAGAGAAAGTTTCTCAAGAGACAGCTGAGGTGACGGGAAGAGCGCCCTGACCTCCCTAGATTGTTTTTCAGCTGAGGGTAGTACCAAGCTACCAACTGCCCTTGAAGCCCCCTTCAGCACTTTCCAAAGCAACTGAGCTGCAGACACCTGTGGGGGCGGACCGGATTCAGCTGCAGATAGTTTCGATTCTCCCCCCTCTGCTCTTGCTCATTCTGGGATGTCATGAGCCTAGCAACAGAGAGAGAGTTACGTCACCTCTCTGGTTTCCGGTTGGGTCAAAGGCCTAGGGCCAATCAGAAAAAACCCTTTCTATAAATCTAGTTGCTATTCACTTGGTACGGTGGTGCCTGGAGAGTATTTGACATGCCTTGTCAATAGTCCCAGAAGCAACCCAGCAATGGCCTCCCTGTCTTGATTCCTGCCTGGCCTGGCTGACTGCGTGAACATCTTGCTGACTGCCTCCGCAAACCTGGAAAGGGTAACCGGAACTGGGCCCTTACATGTTTAGCTATGCTAGAAATGCTTAGATTTGATTATTTAATTCCTTCACCGGCTAGCCTTGTATTTTACATGTTTTTGCACTTTAATAAATAATTATATTTTTACTCTGTCGTGGTTTTTGATTTCAATTAACCTCAAAGCCTAAACTCAAAAGCCTTGACGCTTGAACCACCTACCAAAGTAAGTGTTTTGTCTTAGAAACTCAGACTGCAGCTTAGCTCTGCTGGGCTGACCTTTTCTTGTTTAGTTCCCTGAGAAGCCGGGAGGCTTGGTCTTTCTCTCCTGGGCTGTTGGGACAGATTGAAAGACCTGGTGGCAACCTACCAAGGCTTGGGTGAGTCTGTAGACTCTCTCAAGTATTTTGTATCTTTGCTTCGCAACGCACTCCCCTTGAACCAAAAGTTCCTGGCCCGGAGGAAGTGACACTTTTGACAGGTGGGTCCACCCCTCTGGCCGGGCCCACAAGAGGCTGATGAGGGGGAGGGCAAAGGGAAGTGCCCACCCTTCACATACAGACAACCCAGCTGGCACAGATAGGCAGCAGGGTCCCTCCCGTGCCCCCTGCCCCTCAAAACACAACACCACCAGTCCAGCAAGGCCACCCTGTAGGGGCAAGACTGCCAAGGACGGGCGGCCCCTGCTCAAGCTCTGCCCCACCACCGTGCCTCTGCCCAGGCCAGCCAGAACACACCAGCCAGGCCAAGGTCACATTTCCAGCAGGTGAGCGAAGGGACTGGGAGGCGGGGGGCTGGAGGCTCCTCCCCCACCCACCACCCACCCGGACACTTACGCAGGTAAAGAGGAGGGCTCCGAGGGAGGCGTAGACGAGCTCCAGGATGCGGTTCCGGATGAAGATGCACAGGATGGAGAAGATCAGCAGCACCATCAGGCAGACGATGAGCACCCCCCGGCAGGAGGTGAAGTCATACTTGGTCTGCAAGGAGAAGCACCAATGGGAGGTGATCGGGGAGACCCCACAAACTGCAGGCCCTTCCAGCAGCCCCTCCGGCTCGGGCCAGCAGCACCCCGAACCCCCTCCCCTCATTGGCCGTCTGCGGAAGAAACGGGACAGAAGAGCACTTTCGACTCAGTGATGCAGAGACGGCTAGGCTGGTATCGCATCGGCCTGTTTTGTGAGACGGGGCTCTTTTCAAAGAACGAGTCCGTAAAAGAGCAGGGACAGAGAGCACAGGCTGGGGCTTTGTTTAGAAACGGAGGCCTTCGAAAAATTCTGGGTGCGGCAACGGAGGGAAATTGAAACTGGGCCTAAGAAAAGAGCGCCCATTCCCTGAGACCACAGAAGATGACTTACTTCGCACAGTACTGTCTTATATTTGACACATTCAGGGAATTTAAGAGTACAAGTGCTTTGGTTTTCTACAAGCAAACCTACAGATAAACCCAATCCGCGAGAGGAAGAGCTGCAAACTGCTAGACCCCCCCCCCAATACCACAGCAGGCGTATCTTGGTTTTTATCCTCTGACAAAGCTGGCATGGTGGGGGGTGGGGAGTTGAAATACGAAAACAAATTTTGTAGTAGACACAACTAAGCGCATTAACAGTCCCATATAGCCCTATGGCAGGACTTGCAGTGTTTAGATAAACGGTAAGTATATCCTTGAAAAGACACTGTCTATATGTCTACAGCAGGGGGCCCTGTGGTGGAATGGGCCGGCTCTGGCCTGCAGGACCCATTCCGCCCTGCCCTCTCCTATGTTTTTCTCAACACCTGGAAATGTTTCTCTCTCTCTCTCTCTCTCCCTGGTACGTTGCCACCACCACATGGCCTTTGTAAGGAATTGCCTGCTGGGAGGGTCAGGAGGACTCCCCACTTCCCTTCCAGGTTCTGAGGCCTTGCCTCTGTGCCTCCCACTGCCCAGCGCCTGGTCTCTACGGGGACAGTTTCCTGCCTTGCGTGCCCCTGGAGGCATAGCCTCTTCCAACTGCCTGCCTTCCCCCCGGCGCTCCTTTTAAAATAGCGTCTTCAATACAGTGGAGGTCTATGTGGTACAGAGAACCCCTTCCAGCATCCAAAGTTATAATGCCTTTAGTAAAAAGAGAATGTTTACAAGCATACGTTTAGCACAGCACCAGATGGAGCAAAGGGTACAAAGGAAATAGGTAAAATGCAATCCTCTGTCCCGCTCTCTATACACATGCCCTATCAGATGTTAGAATATACGACAGGCTGCTGTAGCTTAGGTAGTTACACATCCCTACAAAGTGACCATTACCTTGAAGATCCCTCCAGCTTTTTAGGCCAGCACATGGTCAATGGCTGCCTTCCCAGTGGAGAGATCTGTGTGCTCTCATGGACTCAGCACCCAAAGAAAGAGACCTCCTCCTGGCTACCAGGAGTTTTGATCATATCTCTTTCTCCACCCACTGACCTGGTCACACCAGGTCAAAGAGGCTTTCCCTGGACGTCTCTATAGTTCTTCTTCCTGAAGACTTCCTAGCCTCAATCCCTTCAAGTCTCTGTTCCCTGCTTGGAGAAGGGGAAGAGCCTGACCCACCCCTTATCCCTCCTGCTAAATCTATTAGCATTTGTATGAAGGTGAGCCACGGTGAGCCTGGGAAGCCGCTGACTGACTTCCTCCTTCCCAGCTTGTTCTCCGCCCAGAGGGGAAAAATTCTAGAAATGCAAAATGGAGTCTTTACTCATCACAAACCTCGTCACAAACAAAAGTACTGAGGTAATAAGACTGTATCAGTATTTGTATGAAAACTTTTATAAGGAATGCGAAGTGGAATTTAATATTAGGTATCTCCTTTTCCCTAAGGGTCAATATATAATCTTTAGAATGCTTTGGTTACAGAATGGCTATTGATAAGCAGTAGGATATTAAGGATCCATAATTATAAGAGGAAAGATGGGTTTTGTAGCAAAAGATTGAAGGATTTTAAAAGATTTGACTATGAGAATCCACAGATATGACATTAATATCATTGAAAAATGACTATTAAAAAGTATCAAGGTAACAAGATGGTATAGACTTCCTCTAAGAAGTTATAGAGTGTTTTTGTGATGTAAAGGCAATCATTTGGTTTTTTGCAGATATCTAGAAATGCATGGACTTAAGTGACCAGATTTAACACAAAGAATTACCTAGCTGTATAAGCAGAATTATTAATGTAATGTAGCAGAGTCTGTAGAAGTAACTGTGAGCACTCTCTTTTTTTCGCTTTGTACACCCCCATTCCCTACTTCCCTACCTTCCTTTCCTCTTAAAAAAATCAATAAAAATTTAATTTAGTTTTTTAAAAAAGAAATATTTCTTCGCCGCCTTCACCCCATAGGATGTTTGTGACACCACGTCGTGAGCACTCTAGCCGTCTTAGCTCCCGCTTCATCCTCCGCGGTTCCGAGGTATAACAAGGTGCTGCTTTGGTGCAGGGGCCTAGAGGGTGCTGGGCGGGGGGGGGGCAATCTCATCGATGGCTTTGGAGAGCTGGTGTTCCCAGCTTTCTGAAGCTGACCAGGGTCCATTTGGCTCCGTGGGCGGGCATAAATGCACTCGCCACCTAAACAGGGAGGGCACAGTATGCTCAGCCGGACCTTCAGGGCGAAGTCGTCAGAACATGGGACTACATCTGTAGCCATCCGATCCACATTTATCCCCAATCCCAAAAATCAGATCCAGTGTGTGGCCTGCTTGGTGCGTGGGAGTCGATATAAACTGGGAGAATCCCAGTGCCTCCATGGACGACACTAGGTCCCTGGCCTGAGAAGACGCCACATTGTCTGCATGGACCCTAAAATCTCCCAGGACCAAAGGCCTAGGGTGCTCCAATGCCCAAGCCGATGCTGCATCTAACAGGTCGGACAGGCGGTCGGTACACCAGCCAGCTAGCCAAACTCTCCTCGACACTGCACGCGAGACCAACACATTCCATGCCGGAGGTGGTTGGGGCAGAAAGCGAGCTGAAGGAAGAGCTTCTGCTCTTTCCCCCGAAGCCCCCCCCCCCGTCTCTCGGTCTGAGGAAGAAAAGCCATGGCAGCAGGACGGGACCCGATCCCCCTCGGCCCCCTGCTATCCAGCCCAGAGTGGCATCTGCCGTTGGGACTGCACCAGCTCACAAGGCCAGACCCTCATCCTGGGGACAGAACGGCACAAACCTCGGGGGAGCCCAGAAGCAGAGCAGCCACCAAGGGCCCTGTGCCTGCCAGGCGGGCAGCACGAGCCCCCTTTCCCATGCTTGGGGGGGGCAAGAGTGGGAGGGGCTTCTGGAGCCCCGGCCCCGCTGGTGGACCTCCTGATGGCCCCCGGGGGTTTTGGCCGCCGCGTGACACAGAGAGTCGGCCTTGGAGGGGCCCCTGGCCTGACCCAACACTGGCTTCCCTTCCGTCCTTATGCTCCTGCTAAGTGGGGGGAGGGGGCAGCGGCCCAGGCCTCCTGAGACCCCCCCGGGCACGGAGGAGCCGGCTGGAGCGCCCACCCACCTGCAGGGAGAATATGACGACCGTGAAGCAGACGGCCGCCGTGATGCCCACCGCCATGATGACGGCCTCCGTGTCGTAGAAGCTGGCGATCATGCCCACCATGTAGGAGAGGCACAGGGTCAAGATGGACTGTGGGAGAGAGGAAGTGTGAGAAGCAGGAGCCGGGCGCCACGCGGCACTCCCAAGCCCACCCCCCGCCCACCCACCCCCCAGCCTTGGGAGTGGACCATGGGCCCCTTCTGCTCCACAGCCGGCCGGCCTCGCCTGCAAACGGGGGCTCCCCCCCCCCCACCGGCAGCCCATGCATGGACGTGGGGTCAGGCCCTTACCAGGGCGACCAGGTTCCAGGGGTGCTTCCGCCGGAACTCCCCACAGCAGCTGAGGACGATGAGCGAAACGAAGAAGATGACGTAGGAGACGTAGTAAGTCCAGACGTTCCGCCGCACGAAGCCCTTCACGCCCTTCACAAAGGTGAAGATGGCCACAAAGGCGAAGGTGACGGACAGCTGGAGGGTCAGCACCAGGAACACCTGCGGGCACGAGAGCAGTGGCATGACCCTCAAGAGCCCTGCAGGCCAGGGGCTGCTGAGAGCGCCCGGGAGAGACCGCCCCCACAAAGGGTCACACACACCCCACCCTCACCACAGCAGAACCCTTCACGCTTTCCCCTTCCCAACTGCCGGGCCTTGGCCTTCGGGGGCCCCCGCCACAGCCCCCCACAAAGCCAACCCCAAGTCACCTCCCCACCCTAAGCAGCAGCCGTGGCCGCCACAGCAGCTTCCTCGCAGAGCCTCCCCCCGCCTGGGAGCACCCAGGACCCTGGGAACTGGAGGTGCGGTGGAGGGAGGGAGGGAGCCTGGGGTGGCTCCGTCTGGGGGCCGCAGCATCCATGCGTATCCATTTACACTACGCGCTGAGACCCCACCCCTCTCCCCCGTGGGAACCCCGAGCAGCCGGCATCCTCCTCTTCCCTCTCCCTCACTGCAGCCTCACAACCACCACCCGGGGGTATGGGCTCGGCTGGGAGAGAGCGTGACTGGCCCAGGGTCACCCAGCGCGCTCCCCCGGCACCCGCAGGGACTCGCACCTGCTTCTCCCAGAGACTAGCCTGCTAACCACACCCTGGCTCAAAAGCCGCAAGTCCCTCATGCAGCGGAATCGACCGCTGAGAGACACCACAGCAGCCTTGAGTTTGGATGACTTGAAAAGGGAGGGGACCCGACGGATCCCGGGAGAATTCCGCCAGTGGCTCTCGGCGAGCGCACCTCTCCTTTTTTGGGGGGGGGGGGGGGGGGGCAGCTTTGTCTCCCTGCCTGTGGGCCTCCCATGGAGGGAAGCGGGATGCTGGAACGGATGGGCCTTTGGCCGGATCCGGCAGGCCTCTCCTCTTCTGCGCGCTGAACAGGGACTCCACGCCTGAGCCGCAGGCCACATGGAGAGGCCGGGGGCACCCCCGCCTTGCGGACGCACTGTCCCTCCCCCCCCTCACCTTGCGGATGAAGGCCTGGCGGATGTTCTTGTCCTCCCAGTTCGTGGTGGGGAAATCCTGGTTGTCATAGTAGGAGGGAGGCCCGTCCTCGTGGTAGTTGCTGTGCAGCGGGGCTGGGAGGAAGCGGAAGGCGGAGTCAGTGTGTGGCCCCCACCCACCCCTCTCGTCCCTATGGGGCTGGCCCTGGGGGAGCTTCATTGGCGGGAGAAGGGCTGGTCGCCCTTCTCTTCCTCCTCCGAGCTCCACCTCCCCTGGCCCCCGGGCGGAAGGGGGAGCCCCCCCGCTCACCGATCCTGGACGCCGCGGCGCCTGATCTCCAGATCACATAGATAGGGGGCCTGGTTCCACCTTGGGGGGCACAATGCAGCAAGAGAAGAAAGGAGACTGAGGGGGGCCGGGGGGGGCCTAGTTTGAGGGCCATCCATCCCTACAAGCCGTCCCATCCGAAACGCCTTAGGAGTAGCCCGCTTAATACTTCAAGAGGTGGCTAGACCGCAGAAAGCGACCTGGGGTGGGGGTGGGGCAAGCAGGCCAGGAGCAAATCTGTGCAGCCCCCCTCCCAGCACCCTTTCCCCCCCTCCCAGCACCCTTTCCCCCCTCCAAAAAAAAGGCAGCAGCTGGCTACTCACAGTCTTGATCCTCAGGGCCGATGGGATGTGGCTGGACGTACGGCCCTTGCGGGTAGGGTCCTTGCGGGTACGGGCCCTGCGGGTAGGGTCCCTGAACTGGGTACGGGCCCTGCGGGTAGGGCCCCGCGGCGGGGTAGCCAGGCTGGCCATAGGCTGCAGGCTGGAACGGCGGCTGCGGGTAGGGGGCCGTTGGGTAGGGAGGCTGGACGTAGCCCGGTGGGACAGGGGGCTGCTGCTCCGGAGGAAAAGGGTCTCCCGACACCAGGAAGCTCTTCTCGTGCGACATGGCTCCAGCGCTCACAAGTCAGAGCTGCAGAGAGAGGAGAGAAACCATGAGAAACAACCCCCCTGCCAGCCCAGACAGGCCTTTCCCCCGCGCCCAGAGACACCTTCTGAAGAGTCAGGGAGAACTGCTCCCCGGCAGACCCGCTGAAACTCCCACTTCAGGCCCGGGGGAGGCGCACGCATGCCCTTCCCGCCAGGCGACTCCCCTGGCTCGCCTGTCTCCTCTGTAGAGGACCGTGTGCCTCAGTCTCCCCTCTGGGCCACTGCAGCCAAAGCTCCAGGCTGGCTGCACACCGTGAAGTCGGGCCAGTTTCTGTGGTCGGACTGGTTTCGAGAAGTGTCAGGCGGCCTCCCCAGGAACTGGCCCAGGGCGGCTCGCAAAACAGAGCCCCGTGAAAACACAACACAGGGAGAATCAAGCTGCTTAAAAGGAAGACGCTTCCAAGCTAAAACGTAGGATTAAAAGGGTGGTAAAGCAACCCGCCCCCCGCCCCGGATAGCCCCAAGATAGCCCGATCTCCTTGGACCCTGGGCGCTCAGCGGGGTCGGCCCTGGAGACAGCCAGGGCGGCCGTGCAGAGGCAGGCGGCAGCAGACCACCACTGTTCCGCTCTTGCCTTGACCCGGGGGCCCAGCCCAGCCTGCTCTTGTCAGACAGCAGAAGCGCCGCAGGATCGACCCCGGCTAGTATTCGGATGGGGGGGGAGGCATTGGATTTAGACCCTGGCCTTCTCTTGGGAGTCTCCGAGCGGCTGATGAACTCCTTTCCCCTCCCCCTCCCCACAACAGAGACCCTCCTGTGAGGCAGGTGAGGCTGAGAGAGCTCTCTCGAGGACTGTTCTTTCCAGGACAGCTCTGACAGAACTTGTCACTGACCCAAGGTCACGCCAGCAGCTGCCTGTGGAGGAGTGGGGGATCAGACCTGGGTCTCCCAGAATAGAGTCTGTGCTCTTTACCACTACACCAAAATACACCAAGGCAGGCCAGAGCCAGTTTGGTGTAGTGGCTAGGAGCACGGACTCTAATCTGGGAGAACTGGGTTTGATTCCCCACTCCTCCACAGGCAGCTGCTGGCGTGACCTTGGGTCAGTGACAAGTTCTGTCAGAGCTGTCCTGGAAAGAACAGTCCTCGAGAGAGCTCTCTCAGCCTCACCTGCCTCACAGGAGGGTCTCTGTTGTGGGGAGGGGAAGAGGAAAGGAGTCTGTAAGCTGCTCTGAGACTCCTTTGGGTAGTGAAGGGCCATGGGGGATAAATCCAATCTCCTCTGCTCTCTCCTTCTCTCATTCCCTGTGCTCCAGATTATCCGTCGCTATGCTTTTACTGACTTGTAAATGGGGGTGGGAATAAACCCACCAGTGCCTATAATAATCCAAGTGTTAAAGACAAAGAGGCAAGTGACGCACTGGGCTGACTGGCTGGCCAAGTCAAGTCAAGTCAACACTGCAGGCGAAACGCTTACTGAGGTGTCTCCTCGTTTTTGTCACTCGCTTGTCCCTGTTCCTTTGGGTTCCTCGCCCCCCTTTTCCACATGTGTTTTGCTCCCTCTGGGACTGCTAGAGAGAGCAAAACACATGGGGGGGGGACGGGGACCCTGAAGCAACAGGGACAAACGTGACAGTGCAGAATCACCAACCGGATAAGCAGCGGGAAGCCATGCCACAGAAAGAGGCTGTGAAACTCAGGTGCCCCAGCGACTTCCACTGAAGAGAGAGAAGTTCTGCCAACACAGACGAGAGGACGGCCATGGCCGGGGCCCACGGCGCACAGGTCTTTGCGTGGTTGACACTGCAAGGAAGTCCTAAGCATCTGTAAAGGTAAAAGTTCCCTTGCTCGAAAGCCAGTCGCATCCGACTCTAGGGTTGCGGTGCTCATCTCCGTTTCAAAGCTGAAGAGCCAGCGCTGTCCGAAGACGTTTCCGTGGTCACGTGGCCGGCATGACTAAACACCAAGGCGCACGGAACCCTGTTCCCTTCCCACCGAAGTGGTACCTATTTATCTACTTGCAATTTCTTGCTTTCGAACTGCTAGGTTGGCAGGAGCTGGAACTAGAGATGGGAGCTCACTCCGTCATGCGGGGAGCAGCAGAATGAAGTTTGAGTCCAGGGGCACCTTTCAGGCCAGCAGAGTTTTATAAGCTTCCAGATGCATGCAGAGGAAAGCCTATCCCTTGAATAAGACTTCGTTGGCATTCAAGGTGCCCCTGGGGACACACACGCTTTGTTCTCCCACTGAGTTTAACGGGGCTTGCTTCTTGGGAAGTGTGCCGAGGACTGCACACTCGACATGTTCACAGTTTTCAACGCCTGCAGTTTAAACTTAATCCTCAGATTTAAAGAATGTAAAGGCTGCATATCCCCAAAGGTACTTCCATTTCAAAAGAACAACAAATAGATGCCTAGCACAGAATTAGACAAGCTTTTACAAGTAGTATTTCTATAAAAATAATTTCCAGAGAGACATGAACCTCTTTGAAAACTCAAACCACACTTGAACTTTTTCATAATAAAGTATTTCCGTTCAAGTGGCTCAAGTGGTTAAGACACTGAACTGCAGGCTGGAAGGTCGGTCGTTCAGCAGTTCGAGACCCGAGTGCCACATGATGGAGTGAGCTCCCGTCTCTGGCCCCAGCTCCTGCCAAACTAGCAGTTCGAAAGCAAGAAACTGCAAGTAGATAAATAGGTACCGCTTTGGTGGGAAGGTAACGGCATTCCATGCGCCTCGGCATTTAGTCATGTCAGCCACATGACCACGGGAACGTCTTTGGACAGCGCTGGCTCTTCGGCTTGGAAACGGAGATGAGCACCGCACCCTAGAGTCAGATTCGACTGGCTTTCGAGCAAGGGAAATTTTTACCTTTATCTGCTACTGGGGCATAAAGTTAACATGGGGTACTTTTAAATATTGTTCACTAAATGTAAGACAAAACAAACGTGATATATACAGATCGTGCTTTACTTAAAGCACTGGAAAACGTTCCAGTTCAATTCCCCCCCCCCAAAAAAAACTATTTGGAAAATGGTGCGGGCCAAATAGTTAACCCCCCCACCCACCAAGGATGCTGGTGCAATCTGGACCCCCGCTCCCCAACCCCATGCACAAGTTACCTAGCTGGGCCTCAAGCACAAAGGAAAACCAGAAGCAGCCCCCAAATGCAAAAGACGAGTGCAGGACGGACAGAAGTCCAGAGATTTGTCACGACGAAGTTCCAGGAACACCAAGCCTCCATCGGGCAGAGGGGGGGGGGACCCCCAAGTTCAAGCCAACTCAAAGGAGGAAGAGGCCGTTCCCAAAAGGTTTGCTGTTTGTTTGCTGTACAACACACCTTTCTGGAACTAAAGTACCCACCTGATGAAGTCAAGAGACAGACTAACAAAGCCAGAATGGTGCCCAGAGAAAACCTGTGGCAAGGCAGGCCCCAAACAGACAGTTAAGAGAACACCACTATAGGGACCACGGACAGCTCTCACCTCGGGACAGTTCAAGGTTGTAGTAATTCCACAAGCAGACCGTGCCGGAAAGACTGAAAGTTTACTGGAGCAAAAAGCAGGGCCTCTCCTAGCCTAGGCTTGAGCAGAAACAGAACAGCCAACATCCAGGAGAGGAAGTGAAACCAAACTACAGCACAGGCTTTTTGGCCTTAAGGGGTCAGGGGGAAATAACAGAACGGTTCGAATAAGGGAACATCACCAAATGTATAACTTGCCACAGTATAACAACGGTATCACCAGCAATTTACAACCTCTACTGGATAATGAGAGTTCTGCTTCATGAGTGGGGGGGGGGGCAAGCTTTTCTTGCACTAAGACCCCCCAAACTCAAACAACTCCTCACCCACAATACTACAACATCTAATTTGAACGTGGACACTGGTACCAGAGCTTGCAATAAACCCAGATGCCAACTTACCCAGAAAACACAATCACTGGACCTAACAACATCAGCTACTCCATCTCAGGCTCATTCATATGCTCATCATCTAACATTGTGTATGCCATTAAATGCCAACAATGCCCTTCAGTTCCCTAACTTCAGGAACAGAACGGAAAGGGTAATTGCTCAGTTGCAAATGATCACAATACTCAAAACCATGGAATCCCCAGGACTTAACAGGGATATTGGTTTCTTATCTCACTACATAGCCTAACCTCATTCAGCTCTTACATCTGGCCCGAGGGAGGCCAGGCTAGCTGCTACTAGGGACCAGGGCCTTTTCGGTGGCGGCCCCTACCTGGTGGAATGAGCTCCTGGAGGAGATCAGGGCCCAGTGGGACCTTTTGCAGTTCCACAGGGCCTGCAAGACGGAGCTCTTCCACCAGGCATATAATTAGGGGCTGCCCTATTAGGGCACACGCCACTGCAGCACACGGCCCGCAAAGTCATCATTGAACAGCTGCCATAAGAGTTGACGAGCAGAATAACATCTAAGCACTTTTACGCTGGAAGCCGGAAATCCATCTGAAAGCATTCAATCTGATTGAATTTTAACTGTCGCCAGTACTTGTAATGTATTATTTTATCTGCTATGCTCTAATTTGTATTATGTATGTTTTTATTATGTATTTATGTTATTGGAAGCCACCCTGAGCCTGCTCTGCGGGGAATAAATTTGACAATAAATAAAAATAAATATTCTCACCATTCCCCCGAAGGGCCATACGTCCTCTTTATTGTATTTTATTTCTTATACAAAATAATATATTAGAATGCAATGTGATTTGGAATGGTGGATGGGAATGTATTTCTCTGGTCTGGGGACGGGGGAGATGCCTCTACACACAGCCAAGCAACCCACTTCAAGTGAGGAAGAGGGTGTCAGGTTGCCTCCGTGCTTGAGAGGAGACAGACGGAGCGTCATGGCAGGGCCTCAGTTAATTAGCTGAGAAAAAATTAATTAATTAGCTGCAGAAAGCTAATGCAGTCTCAGGATGCGTCAACAGAAGCACTGTGTCCAGATCACGGGAGGTGGTAGTTCCACTCTATTCTGCTATGGTCAGGCCTCCCCTGGAGTCCTGTGTCCAGTTCTGGGCACCACATTTGAGGAAGGATGCTAACAAGGTCGAGCGTGTCCAGAAGAGGGCAACCAGGGTGGTGAGAGGGTTGGAATGCAGGTCTTATGAGGAAAGGCTGAAAGAGTTTGGTATGTTTCGCCTGGGAAAGAGAAGGCTTAGAGGGGACATGATTGCCGTCTTCAAGTACTTGAAGGGCTGTCATGTAGAAGATGGAGCAGATCTATTCTCTCTTGCTCCGGACTGCAAGACTAGGTCTAATGGGTGGGAATTACAAGGGAGTCGTTACCGGCTAAATATCAGGAGAAACTTCCTAACTGTCGGAGTGGTTGAGCAGTGGAACAGACTGCCTCGGGAGCTGGTGGATGCTCCTTCGCTGGACGTTTTCCAAGCGGAGGAGGCTGGACGACCATCTTTCAGGTATGTTGTAGGTATGTAGGGCTATTATCTTTTGGCTCCGCTCCTGCAGAGTGCAGCAGGTTGGACAAGATGACCTGCAAAGTCCCTTCCAACTCTTAACATTCTATGATTCTGATTACTTTCAGCATTCCAAGTGGTCACAGCCTATAACTTCTAAAATACGCTCATTTGGCATCAAGATGAGACCTTTATATACCGGACGATTCATAAAAGAACTGGGGACATCGAAGCCCAAACAATCCAGGCTGGTGCTGGGGGCGCTTGTTCCCCCCCCCTTTTCCCTTGGCCTCAAATATGCCCCAAACAGTATGGCCCAATACTTCTCTAATCTGGTGGTCCCGCTGCAACGCGGAGCTTTTATGCTGGCCAGATTCAATGTTTCCCCCTCATCCTGGGTCTCAGGTAGATACGGAGGCATCCCGAAGTGCTACAGAATGTGCAAATGCTCACTTAGAGAACCTGATACCTTCGACCCTATTCTGCTACGCTGCCCCTTCCATTCACATCTCCGGCTGTTTTTGATTAAGCCCTTGCTGTCTAGGATCAATTCTGATAATGCAATCAGGTTTCTTCTTGCTGATAAGACACCAGAAGTGACTGTACAGATGGCTGAATTTTTGTCTAAGATCTTGGTAGCAGGAAACTATTCTTAATATTGGTGTGCTCTAAGATTTATAGATGTAATTTTAGCTTGACGGAGTTCTTATCTTACTGATTTTATATGCCAATAAAGGTTTTCTATTGTGTACTGTGTGTGTGTATAAGCTAAGCTTGTTATTCACGGCTGACTACCTGGATCTATATTCCTCAGTCTGTTAAACATCTTCATTATGTTGCATGCTAATCTACTGCTCACGCTCTACCTCTATGTATGGACTGGTAATTTCCATTTCATTGCATCTGAAGAAGTGGGCATGCGCATACAAAAGCTCACACCTTGAATAAAACTTTGTTGGTTTTAAAGGTGCCTGACTGGACTCAAACTTTGTTCAACCACAAGCCTGCAATTGAACAGCAAACTAAAACCAGCTGAAGACTGGGAAACCAGCCCCCTGTGATTCATACTCGTGCCACACACTTATGAAACCCAAAAGGAAGCTACAGCGGGGAGAGCGGCCAGAGACAGGCCAGTCTGCTGCAAAAAGAAGCAAGCAAGGAAGGGTTCAGCGGGCTGCAGCTGCCTGCTGGGCTCTGAGCCAAACAGCCAGAGGGGGGGGCCGCAGACCAAGGAAGAAGAGGAAGAGGAAGAAGCAGAAGAGGGGGGGGAGGGGGAGGAGACTGGATTTATACCCTGCCCTTCACTACCCAAAGGTGTCTCAGAGCGGCTGACAAATTCCTTCCCCTCCCCACAACAGACACCCTGTGAGGTGGGTGGGGCTGAGAGAGCTCTCGACAGAAACGGCTCTTTTTCAAGGACAGCTCTTTTCAAGACTACGGCTTGCCCAAGGTCATCCAGCAGCTGCAAGTGGAGGAGTGGGGAATCAAACCCGGTTCTCCCAGATTAGAGTCCGTGCACTTAACCACTAAGAAGAAGAAGAGGAGGAGATTGGATTTCTATCCCACCCTTCACTACCCAAGGGAGTCTCAGAGCAGCTGACAAACTCCTTCCCCTTCCCCTCCCCACAACAGACACCCTGTGAGGCGGGTGGGGCTGAAAGAGCTCTTGACAGAAACTGCTCTTTTTCAAGAACAGCTCTTGCCAGAACTATGTATTGCCCAAGGTCATCCAGCAGGTGCAAGTGGAGGAGGAGTGGGGAATCAAACCCGGTTCTCCCAGATCAGAGTCCACACAGTTCACCACTACACCAAACTGGCTCTCGCCACTCTCTCGCCACTGGGCACATGGCCTATGATGGCCCAGGGAAACAATGGTGGGGTGGGTAGAGGGGTACAGCAGCAGGCGGTGCGGCCAAGGGGCACCAAGCCCATGGGGTCTCCAGGCCATTTGTTATTAAGCAGACAGCATGGCAGCTCCAGCAACCGCGCCTGCACTAACTGAGGCTTCCAAGCAATGTTCAAAGACAGCCCTGCTGACGAAGAACCATACAGTCATCTAGCCTAGAGACAACTGCATCGTGGGAAACTGTAGCCCGGAAGTGGGCACTGTGGGGGAATATCCCAAACCCCATGGGGTTCTTTCCAATGGGTGGGTGGAGACAGGCCAGGGAACTCAGGCCTCCAGAGGAACAGGGCCAGAGAGAACAGCAGATTAACCACACACAAGTAATACTCAATGGCACATAAAAGCCTCAATACCTGATAACAGAGGATACTTCTAGAAAGCATAAGGAACGTTCCTGGACTGCAGGACCAAGACCCTTACACATGCCGGTGAGGTGTCGACCAAACAGCCCAGAACAAAGCCCAAAGCCACATTCCTTTGGTATGGTATGGTGATACCATGAACATTTGCCTAGATATATATTTTATTAACTGCGATGTCAGCAAGGCCCAGACCTGTCTATGGCATCTCCACAGAGGTATATGCTTAGGCTTTGGAGCCTGGCACTCAGAGAATGAGGAACATCAGGTACGAATTCAGGCAAGAGTGTGTTTACAGGGCAAGGCCTTAGGTTTTACGCTTAGGCTGCCAGCTAAAAAGCAAAGGCTCATGGGACCTCAGAAGTGAGAAACCAGTCAGTCATAGCAAAACCTACGGGGCATAAAAGAACAGAAAGGCCCGGGCTCCTGGAGCCCCAAATTCTGCAACGGGCACAGATGGCACCCCAGGCACAGCAAGTTAAAGGAGGCCAATCTGCCCTCCCCTGCAGAGGAGAAGTCTAGGAGACCCAGCAAGGCCTCTGCACCCCAACGCCTGCCCAGTAAGGGTCTTCCAGCAGGGTGACGAAGGCCACTCTTTTTCCTAAACTCCGGCGCGGGGCCAGGCCTCACAAATCTGGCTCATCCAAGACAGCTGGGAGCTCTACAGCCTTTACCCCAGAGGGGGAGATCAGCCACGGCACAAGAATTATGTTCCCTTGGGACTGGGGTGGCTTCTCAAGGTGGTGGTGGTGGTGGGGTCCCACCACCACTCCCGCCAAGGAAGCTGGTGCTGCCTCAGTCCTTGACTGCCCCCTGAACCCACTCTGAGACAAGTCTCGGCAGGGGGGGACCTTTCTGAAGCCTTTGA